CGGCCTGCCACGCTCTCCATCGCCAGCCACGCCGCCCTGCCCAACATCTGGACGGCCTGGCAGGCCATCACGCCCTTGCTGGAGGAGCTCAACGCGCTGCTCCAGGAGTGGCCGGGCCTCCACTACACAGTGCACGTGCTCTGCTCCAAGTGCCTTAAGCGAGGGTCGCCCAACCCGCATGCCTTCCCAGGTAAGGGCCTTCCCCTGTGGGGCCGGGGGAGGAGGAAGGCGGCTCTGCCTGGGCACGCAGAGCTGGGGACGAGCAGGAGGGCGGCTCTGCCTGGGCACGCGGGGCCGGGGATGAGCAGGAGGGCGGCTCTGCCTGCGCGCACAGAGCTGCCCTGAGACACCTGTCCTCTTTGTTTCTGGGGCTCGCTTGGGAGCTGTTGTTCTGGAGACATGTGTACACGTATACGTGAAAAGCGTAGATAAACCTAGTTCCTTCCCCATCATCCCCTGCTTTTTGCAAGCGAGCAGCATCTCTGCGCGCGGCTGTGCAGCGTCGCATGAGCCCGCATCACCCTGGTGCCTCCCCGCAGTGTTGGAGCTGCAAACGGGTGAGGAGTCAACCCTGCGCTGCAGGAGCGCCGCGTTCTCCGCGCCCCCGTGCTGCCCAGGGCCTTGGAGCCTTGGTCTTTTAGCGGCAACGCGAATAAGGGGGGTTTCTCTCTCCTTTCTTTGTCTGCGAGCGAAAATGAGGAGATGCTTTTCTGCTCCGGAGCCGGGCCACACTGGCTGCATCTTCCCCGAGCTGCTTGCGCTTACATAAGGGCTCGCGAAGCTGCAGCGGCACCGTGCCCGAGCAGCGCTCTCCCCTCGGAATAAGAGCCCTAGAAAGAAGCAGCAACCCGAGGGAGCTGCCTGTGCGCACGGGGAGGGCTGCACATTGGAGCCTGTCCCGCTCTCGTGCCGAAGGCTGGTGCTTGGTGGCGCCAGGGATGGGATCGGGGCGAGTCGGCAGCTTTCTGAGCAGTTCCCGCGGGAGCTCTGCGGGCTGGCGGCGCCGCGGGGGCTTTCCGGGAGCGCCCCAAGAAACCGCTGCGCAACGGGAACGAGGGCCACACTGCTGCCGAGGCACTGCCAAAGCTGGGCGTGCGGACGGCAGCGCGGCTCGGGCTCCTGTGACCGTCCTGGCCGCCCCCCGGCT